GGAGACGACTGCCCTACCTCGTGAGCCACCCCCACCCCTAAAGCTGACACGTTTTGTTTCTAGACACACTGGAGCTTTCACACACAGACTGTGTGTCACTGTTGGTCTTGGTCTTTTCCTGGGACAAAAAGAAATTCATCAACTAGAGATGTTTACTTACCTCTCTTAGGTCTGATGGGTCAACAGTTACCTGGAAACAGTAGTAAGATCCAGTAATACTAAAACAGAACCTTTGCTTTTCATACTTTACACTGTGGTGTTAGTTGGGACTAAAGTAGTTTACATGGTAGTACTGCTACTTTTACTTCAGTAAACCATGAATGGTTTCCCACTGTGGCACAATATTCAGATCAAACAGTCTTTTTGGACAACGAACTTTATTTCATTACAAACCTACTTTACATGAAAAGTCATGGAACAACATCTAGTAAGTTCAAACCTCAGTAGAACAGAACAGCCACCAATGCTCCAGTACAAATCTCCAGAGGAATAAATGACAGATGGCAGAATTACAGTTTGTGTATATAGAATAAATAAGTACCTATTAGAACCTGGAGCGACCCTGTTGGTCCAGGACACCAACCTCACTGGTATGATACAAGTTCAGGTCATGTTTTCAGGAAACTAATCCTTTCTCTGAACGTCTAATAGGAGTCGACAGGAAGGCTGCCAACAACCACCAGGACTCGTTTCCTGCTCCATAGGCTGTTTGGGTCCCCAGCAGGGGGCAGCAGCACAGAGAGCAGAGCCGCACAGCTACGTTCAGTAACACTACCTGCACAGAAACCAGGAGCTTCGGCTGCCACGGCTCCAACCTTCACCAACCACCAGTGCAAAACTCGGACTGCCTCTGGACACGTGCACATTTAAAGTCATCAAATCAGTGTCGCTGAAGCTCAGCAGTCACAACATCAGCTCAGGCTGCAGCGACTGATAACCAACACATGGTCACTGCCCATCGTTCCTAAAACCAATGTGATTATGAATAAATGAATTAAAGTGAAAACTTTTTTGGCTCATGCAATGTCGTGATGTTGCTGCATGGACCTCAGACGGCGTCCGGCAGCTTTTGGTCCAGAAACAAAATGCAGCAATGCAACAGAGGATTTTTCTTCACAGCTAAACATCATCCCAGTTACTCACTAGACTGACAGCACTGCACAGTTTGCATGCCAACACTCCACAGAGAGCATGCTGTCGACGGGTCCAGTGAACAGAGAGCAGGAGCTTCGCTTACTAAACTAATAATAGAAACTATGTTAGGGCCAGATACAGACAAATAAGTAGAAAAGACCCTTCTAATTTCAAAAGCAAGCAACAGCAGCACCATGAACAACAATCATAACAAAAGAAGAAGAGACCAGGACCCAAGTGAAGGAGGAGAACTGTAAAACTGGTCTGGTCTGAGGAAACTAGAGCCGTCTGAAATCACTCCCTACTCACTATACAGTAGACTTGTCATGTGGGAATGGGGCCCGAATGCTTTAATAGTAAGTCTGCTAATGATCGCACAATGAAACACTCCATGTTTTATCAGATGAAAAATGACTGCTGCACAGCTCTACAGCTGTTAGTGATGACAAATGAGGATTGGTACATGTCCAACATCTCAGTTTACTGTTGAGTGAACCACTGTGCATCGTACAGGGAGTAGTGAATGGGTGAACTGGGAGTGAGTTCAGACACAACCTATATAAATATGAACTGGATGAATCCATGTTCAGTTGCATCTACAGCGTCGCCATGGCAACCGCTTGGCTCCAGGGAGGAGGGGGTGAAGATACAGACCAGCATCAGCCTCCTAAAGAGCCAACGTGGCTGCTGCTGGCACCGTTAGACCTCCCTACTCTGACTGGGAGGTTATTAAGACAGGGCTTTCTGACAACACACTTTTGAGCTATCGTTGAAGGTTTACAACCAAAATGGCAGGACAGCTGGGCTGTGTCCTGGAAAGGGTCAAGTCCAGGTGGACACAGAGGAGGAGGAAGAGGAAAGAGAGAAAACAGCAGGAACAGTCCTAAGCCATCATTTGGATGGTGTGTGGCGCCGTATGCTCCGGGCTGGTGTGGTTGGCACCCTCTGGCAGCGTGTTGGTGGCACTGCGGCTCCGGACGCCGTCTGTGGATCCAACGCTGGAGGCTGAGTGAGTCCTGGAGCGAACGAGCCGGGTCATACCAGCTGTGGGCACTGGAGGACAACACAAAGACATGGATGTGCTGTTAGTGATGAATGACATCAGAGTGGAGCTGGTTAAGACGCCACCGTCCAATCAGCAGGAGCTGAATCGTCCACACTGGGACCGAACGGATGGATTCAAGTCTGATGACAGTGGGTCTGAGGCTCTGTTCACACCAAGGCTAAAACACCAGAGGTTTTATGTTCAGCTGCACTGAACCAGTGTTAAGTCTCAAAGACGAGGACATCAGATAATGAAAAATGTGAATCAGGCTTCAAATCTGAATTAATCCGTTTCCAGAACAGAAAATGTTCCATCACAGACCTGAGCAGCTTTATAAACTACGTAACAGGCAGACATGAGGAAGCAGCTAACTTTAAGGCTTTTTTCACTACAGGAACCAAATGAGCTGTGACTTATGCAGCAGGTTCTGTTTTTGCTTCCACTGGACTCCACCTGCTCCGAGGATGGCTTCCTGGATATACAGCATCTTTACCCTGAGTGGTGGAGTCGGGTAATCACTCACTACAGTGGTTCAATTTACTTACACAGCTCAGAAGTGACTGTTCCGTGTCCTAGACTCTGGTCAGCACTAGACTTTTCACTGTCACCCCCCTGTTCTCTGACTTAGGAGAGACCAGGGCAGTGGGCTGGTTGGACAGGACGGAGCAGAAGGAGGCTGGGAACAGTCTCCTTCACTCTCTGATCCATTCTGCCCAGGTTCAGTGCTGATATGATCCTGTAGTGGGAAAAGCCCATTTGTCTGAACAAAAGCAGATCTTAGTGTTGCTCTGTCAGTTCATGTTGCTGTGGAGAAGGGACTTCATCCTCCAGCAGAACACGAGCAGGTCAAACTATCAGACATGAGTGTGTCGGCATGCAGGACGGCTGCCGGTCAGCTGATCAACAGCATGCAGGGAGACAAACACACACAGAGACACAAGGAGACACACTAATGAGAAACAACAGCCAATCCCGGCCGGCAATCGGGTGAAGGCGGGGTACACCCTGGACAGGTCGCCAATCCATCGCAGGGCTAACACAGACGAACAACCACACACATGCACTCCTATGGGCAATTTAGAGACACCAATCAACCTAAGTTGCATGTCTTTGGACTGTGGGAGGAAGCCGGAGTACCCGGAGAGAACCCACGCAAGCACAGGGAGAACATGGAGACTCCACACAGAAAGGCCCCGGGTGGGGCCCGAACCCGGAACCTTCTCGCTGTGAGGCAACTGCGCTAACCACTGCGCCACCGTGCTGCCCCCAACTGCTACTTACATTTAGTAAAGCACAGCTGCAGACACACAAACACAACTGCTGTGATCAAACTACAGCATGGGCCACAGGAAAGTAGCCCGCCATTTATGTTGTGAATGGTTGTTGACCTCTCCTCGTTCTCTTCAGGCTGACAACAGGTCAACTGAGCTCAGGCTCACGGCAAACTACCACATCAGTTTCTTCACCTGACACCAACTCTGTCAGACTCTAAACATTCTCTGCATCAACATGCACAAGACTGATGAAAGGGTCTGTCTTAAGCTTCCACAGCGACTAAGAATAAACAGTAACAAAACACAGACGACCGTCATGTGACGGTTACTAGGATCAGGGCGACGAAGACCAAGAACAACAGAAAACATGTTGGATCAAAAACCAAACTCAATGTGAGTCAGATCTTGGTTCACGTCTTGTTAATAAAAAGGAATTTAAACAAACTGCAGTGTTTCCTCTCTTAGATTCACATGTGTGTCTCTAGGCTGCAGACGTTGCACTGACATGCACAGAACCAGCAGATACTCACTGTAGCCCATCCCCTGGACAAAGTACTTGAAGGCCTCTGCTAGTTTCCCAGGCTGAGGAAGGAAACACACACACTTCAGTTTGACTGGCTGATGTTTACAACTTTTAAAACCCAACATGACAAATACATCTGACAGACAGATGAAGGTTTCTCTGCTTTTCTAGTTCGGACATTCAGAACGAGCAGAGTCACCGAGTGCAGACGTAGACGGACGACACATCGATCAAAATAGATGGTTTGAGGCTCAATGAGACAGGTTCACATGTACATCTGTCTTAAAACAATGCACACACAATCACATGTACACAAAGTCCATTTGAGTGTAAAAATATTTTGTGAAGTTCATCTGAACACACTGAGGCTCCTGTGGTTTGACTTGGACAAATCTAGTCTTCTGGTATTATCCCTCCGTCTGTCCGGGGACAAAGAGGAACTAGAACTACACCAAACAGGAGGATCTCTACCTGATTGTCCAACTCAAACTACCGAAGCCTCGTTAACGTCAGCTGCATTTGAACACCGTTAGACTGAGCACTGTGGATTTTGTCCTCCCATCACTGATGAATGATCATGTGAGCAACAGATGGACACATGGACATGTCAGCATTGTTTCATGAAAAGGACAAAGTGATGACTGAAATCCACAGTATGAGACAGGAAGTGGCCCCGACTCACCTGCACCACCTGAGGAAGTCCTCCACAGTCTGCCATCTAGTGGAGAGACAAAGAACAACATCTGGTGAGGACAGAGGCCTCTTAGAAGACTGAACTCCAGCTCAAAGTTATCCTTGGTTTAAAGCTGAATCACTACAAAAATTCAACACAACATACGCCACATGCTAAACAGAACATCACACCCAAACTCAAGGACGGGTGTGTCTATACAAGGACTATAATCTGAGTCGGGAAGAGATCTGCATATGAGTAGGGTTCCTATACAGTCAGTGTCTACCACACTGAATCACAGAGCAGATCTTCTGGTGCTGTGAAAACGACACAGGCAACAGAAGCGTCACATCACGTGGCATTTACGTCCGAGCTCAGAATGAATGGAAACTTTTTTAATGACGTCAACCTTCGTTTTATGTAGGGTATAAATTTCAGCCAGTCGTCGCCGTGTCGCCCCGGCCGCGTGGCCCCATGTACCTGTTGTATATCTGTAGTTTTACTGGATAACCAGATTGAAGCATGTGATACCTGGCTCTGTCTATAAGCTGGAAGAAAACTCAGAGGCAGGAAAACATGACATTGTTGAGCTGTACTGTGTTTTCTCTGCTGTTAGTACTGCACATGCTAAACCAGCACTAACACTGCCAACACTCACAACCAAGTGAAAACCTTAAACAGCCATGATGCTTTTGTTTGTAGCTGTCACCGTGCTGGAAGTGACGCTGGTCATTCTGTCACCATGAAGCCAGAAGAACAGAACTACCACACCGGTCAGAGGACTTAGCAGAAGTCAGACGTCCTTTCCTGTCGTCTCCTCAATCCACCCGTGATGTCAGGCAGCGTCAGCAGAGCAACCAGAGCTCACTTTGCCTCTGGGTCTAACACGGTTACTATCTCTGCACGTTTCCCTTGAACCGTTCTACAGGCATCTGCACTTTACTCTAGTTTGTAACGTCACTGCTCAGGCTGCACACACCAGCTACGTGAACATACACATCATGTCGTTTGTCTCGGCCTTAGTGTCCTCTGAAAAAGGAGGGAATCGTAGGCCGCATGGCCTCGCCCTTCAGATTAGGACCGTTATGGCCTGGTACTGATTCTGGTACCATTTAGGCTCCAGCACCGTTCTAAAAGTATTGTTTTAGCACCAGTACCAGAAAAAACCCAAACAATACCAAACCCGACATACGAATCTGGTCCGCAGCCTTCAGGCTTACACATGTAGCCGCAGTGAGTAGAGTGAAGCCCCTTAAATCCAGCTTAATAAACAGACAAGGGAGAAAGAGACAGACGTGTCTGAGGACATACAAGGTAATGAGACACAGACAAGAGGACATACTGTAGACTGGTACCTTGAGCAGGGTGGTCTTGGTGGGGTCCAGTCTGGAGTTACACTCCACCTGTAGGACAGACCAGCACATAGTCACGTGTCCATCACCACCCTGACCTAACACCTAACCTTAAACCAAAATGGAATGATTTACATTGTTGGGACTCGATTTCTGTCTCCAGAAGAGTCCCCACAGTGTGACTGTGTGAACATATGTCGCCGTAACACAGTATTTCCAACACTGTGACATCACAGACTGCCTGTTGTCATGGAAACAGTGCAGACACTCACCACAGCATCAACAGCAGGTGACATGTCTCCGACCACCAGCAGAGCAGGACACCTGAGAAACACACGCATCAGTGACGTGGCGTGTCCGAGTACATCAGGCATGTTTAAAAAGAAACTAGTACCTGAGCGTGGTCACTGTGTTTTCATTCAGACCAGGGACCGGCCGCTCCATGTGCAGCTCAGTGTGACTAGCAAATACAAACACATTTCGGGGGTTAGCGCCTCTGGGACGGCCTTTCTGAGGTGAACCTGAACAAAACACTGAAGACGACAGTGGACATTGTTTAGGATGTTTACGCCCTACCTGTTGTAGCTGTTGTAGAACATGGCCAGGTTCTCCTGCGGTACATCCTGAGAGATGTGGAGTCTGTACGTCTGGATGGTCTCCTTGTTCTCTGTTAACTCGTCCTACAAACACAGTTCACAGTACAGTGATGTTCACAGCTGATCCTTACAGAACAGTCTGTGTGTGTCCTCACCGTGCTGAAGTGGTGTCCCATGATCATGTCGACCAGGTTGCTCGTCCAGCCGCTCAGCTGCAGGAAACAAGACATCCCACTTTAATAAGATATTTAGTTACTTTGATTAATAACTCACATTTAGTTCAGTACGTTGTCAGTGTAGTGACATTTCCATTATGAAAGGAGTGGGAGTGTGTGTGTGTGTGTGTGTGTTTTACCTTAGAGGCAGCCCAGTTCATCCAGCCTTTGGCACAGGGGTCGATGTTGATCAGAACTAAACCCTCCACCAAACTGGGCTCATTCAGCTGAAACACATCGTCATGTGGGGTTACGTTCCTTTCTTAAATGAACATCACACTGAGCTGATTTCCATCTGCTCCAGGATTCAAACCGTCCAATCACAGACTGAGCTCAGTGAGGTTCTCTACAGGTTAACTGTTGACCAGGGAAGTAGGTGTACTCACAGCCAGTCTGGTGAGGACGTAGGCTCCAGCTCCAACCCCGATACCAATCACAGTCTTCACCCTGACGACAACACACACACCAAGGTGATTTCAATTTTTATTTGTAAACCATCAGCTCATAAGCAGTTCAACAAGCTTTACATGGTTAAAAACAAATATAAGTGTGCACCAATAAATGCATACACATGTATAGAACAATATTAATACACCAAACACAGAGTCCCAGTGAGGTGCTGGGCCACCACATGCCACCAGAACAGCTCCACCTTGACTGTCCAAGTCTCTGAGGGATGAACACCGTTCTTCCACCATGTGGTGTTTTGACGACGGTGGTGGAGACGGTGTCGCATGTTCACATTATAGCAGGAAAACAAGGGTAACGCTGGTTACATGCTGTAACCTGAGGTTCTATGGGTACAGGTGAAACAGTGATTGGCTACGCTCTGCTCACTGCGGACATCCATGCAGAACCTGCACAGCACACCACACCACATACACAACGATGGTGAGGCGCGTGTAAAAGCTATTTTTCCGCTATAATGTGAATACACCTTAACACGTCGCTCCAACATCTCCCATAGCGGTTCAACTAGGCTGAGACCTGGGGACTGGGAAGGCCACAGCATCTGGTTCATATCATGGTCATCCTCATCAGACCCCCTGGTGTCCTGAGGACGGGGGGGCACCGTCATCCTGCAGCAAACCGCCCCCATCAGGAGGGAAAGGCTTCATCACAGGATGAAGGTGATCACTCAGAACTAGTTTGTATTGATCTGCAGTGACTGGACCCGAACCGGGCCTGTGTCTGAATTTGTTACGTTTCTCCACTCAACTGAAAAAACTTAGAAAAAAATCAACTGGACTAGATTTCTAGGTCGAAGACGTTTCACCTCTCATCCAAGAGGCTTCATCAGTTCTGACTGACTGGAGTTGAGCTGGAGATATTTATCCCCTCGTGGTGTTTCAGTCCTTTGAAGGCCAACAATGTCCCCTAACGACTGAGTCGTTACAGCCCAGTATCGGTGAGAGTCATTACCTGTCTTTGGATCCTCCCCTGTGGACCGACGCCTATTGTCCTGGTGGGCATGTTTGGGCAGAGATCTCAAAACAGGATTGTAGATGGAAGACAAGTTGTGTCTTAGTCCACCACCCCTATTTAGTGAGGGGTGTTCTATTTTTACAAAAATCGCTTCCTTAACTCCTCTCTCAAACCAGCAATGTTCTCTGGAGAGGATCTGGACTTCACTGTCCTCAAAAGAATGTCCATTGTCCTTCAGATGGAGGTGGACTGCTGACTCTGGTCCACTGGAGTTGGCCCTCCTGTGATGGGCCATGCGTTTGTGCAGCGGCTGCG